AATAGGAGACCCATCCTCTCAAAATACAAACCTAGATGTAGCAAACTTTTATTTAGATGCAGATCAAACCCTTTACCACAGAAAGGCAATAGCAGAAAGAAATGAGGTTTGGGACAGATTAGTAATTCCCCAAATAATGATAGAATACATNCTTGTAAGCCAATTCAAATTCGAATTTTTAGTTTTTCTTTCTAAAATGCTTCTAAGACCTGAGATACCGTTGTCCTTTTTGAGCTGAAGTAGCGATGACGTGTCCTTCGAATTTTCATTATATGTGATATCCTTGTCGGTGGGAGAACTGAGAGATAACAAACTCGGTTCACTCATGGGTTTTTTTTTCAGACGTATTCTAAAACCTTGTCCCGTAAGAGCATTCGTTAAAACGAATAATAAAAAGGCTGATACTGCCTCACTATAGATATTCATCATCTATATCTGGTAATTCAGAATTAAAATCAAAATTTATTAGGCCAAATATTTACGAATCCTACCGAAATTATTGATTATTATTATTATAATTGTTGTACTCTTTATTGANCTGCGAAACACAGGTTGAGAAACTGATTCAGGTCATAGTATAAAATTTATAGACTATATAAATTCTATGTTCCATACAGTACGTGTATGCATGTTTTTATCTAACGTCATTCTGGAGACAGTAGGAATTTATGTTATGTAATTGGGCTGCAATTTTTTATCATATTTTTATTTTATTTAATTTAAAATATATGCTCTCGATCTCAAATTAGTAACGTCTTGCCCCTGTACATCATACTTTTCCCGATAACAGCAGAATCGTGCCTGGGGGAGTTTTACAATTGAAATGACGTGACTTCTGGATCAAACCGTAAGTTCGTATATAGTTAATCGGGACCTCCTGCTCATAAGCTTTCCATATCGGGTCTCGATTTATCTAACGTCATTCTGGAGACAGTAGGAATTTATGTTATGTAATTGGGCTGCAATTTTTTTCAAATTGCAGCCCAATTACATAACATAAATTTCCATTTATCGTGATGCTTCTTACGTTTCTTCTATATTTATTATTATTTTATTTTCTGTTCTTTGGCATCCGAAAGAACAAATAATTTTTTTTACCAATCATTTTGAATCTTTAGTAACATCATTTATTTGACTTTTGTCTCCTTTCCTCTTTCCTTATTTAAAATCGAACGTATAAAATTGGTAAATAAGAATATAATGCCCGTATCTCGAATCTCCACCTTTTGTTGATGTCCAAGAAATTCCAACGAAGATCTTTTACTTTGAATAATCTCGTGAGTAATTCGAGAGAAAAATAATTTATTCTTAACGTCTCTAATCTTGTACGTAAACATATTTTTATTACAAAAGAAAAATTAATTTTCTTGATTTTTTTCCTTTCGTAAAAATTATTAAAAAAAAAATCAGAAAAATTATTTTAAATAAACAATAAAAATAGATTTTTATATCATCATTTATTTTAAATATACAGTATATATAGTTTTACTGTACAATTCGACCCCTCCTATAACACTGGTGATAATTCCGTTTTATACGAATTCCATGTTGTACGAGTCACTTTGATTTTACAAATACATGAGCCATTCACAGCCCGGTACACGTATTTGTAAAACCTAAGTGACTCGTACAACATGGAATTCATATAAAACGGAATAATCAACAGTGTTATAGGGGGGTCGACTGATATTATATAAGAAGGCCTGGCACGTAAGCTGTAACTTGTTTAGCTGGCGTTAACAGGATACAATTTAGTGCCTTGCACTTTTAATTTTATTATTACTTGGTGCAGAGTGAGGATCTACTGTATGTTACAGTTCAGTTCTACTAGCCTAAATAAGGCTTTTATACGAGTCCTGTGGAACGTTTCTCAATATAATACTTAGTTTAAATCGTAACTTTAACTAGCAAAATTAATTGTGACATGGTCAAAATGCCGAGTTGCAAATTGTAATCATATTCTTAATTAAAAATATATGCTCTCCACCTCAAATTATTAGTGTCTTGCCCCTGTACATCATACTTTTCTTCACAATACCGGTCAACTATATAACTGTTCAGGGAAAATTTTGAATTGAAGTAACGTGACTTCCTGTCCAAACCGGAAGTTCGTATATAGTTAATCGCGGTCTTTTGCCCTTAAGCTTTCCATATCCGGTCTCGATTTATCTGACATCGTTCTCGAGATTAATAAAGGATCTATAGATCTACATTTTTTTTTCAAATTGCAGCCCAATTAATAAAAAAAGTAAATAATATTTTGAAAAGAATAAAAATATTGGAGGATATTTTCGAAGTAAAAATACTTTTATAAAAGAAAAAGTATTAAGGGAATAACGCGTCATTAAGTAAAGAAACGTAATATATTTTCACACTAATCTGGAAAGAGAGAGAGAGAAAAATGTTTGTAGGATGAAGAAGAAATGGTTTAGAAAGAGGAAGAATTCAGACTTAATCCTTTACTTTAATCATTTATTATTTATTTATCGTTTTTTGACGTTTACTGATGCGGTTTAAACTATATAAATGCAAATATTACGTTAAAAAAATTTAATATTAAAGATTTACCGCCACATTTTTATTAATATTTTTCTTCAAATTAATTAACCAACAGAATTTATTTTTAAATCCTTTTTTTTTAATTTAATAAAATAAGTTATATTTTTTATTTAGAATTTTATATCAATGTAAGTAAGGAGATTATAACCGAAGATACTAAATATAAATTCTTGTTTTCTTTCTTTCTTAAAAATAATATTATTTTTTCATAAAAGTACATTTTTATTGTAAAAAAATATATGTTATATTTACAATAAAAAATATTTAAAAACATACTTTTTTTAAAGAAAGAAAGAACAAGAATTTATATTCAATACATCAGTTCTGAGAAAAAAAAAAAAACAGGAGGAAAAAACATTTTTCTTACTTATATTGATATAAAATTCTAAATAAAAAAGAAAATTTTATATGTAATATATATATATATATTCCGTGTCTTCTAAATTCTATGGAGTACCAAAAGTCTTCACTTTCTACCAAGCAGAGTATTAGAGTGTTTCCTATTCTAAATGTTAAAAAAAATACATTTTTAATTAAGTATTAAATAAAGATTTCACACGAAATCTTCGTCTGAACGGTTTACAACTGCAATGTAAAAGAATTTGCATTGTGAGTGAAGTTCCTCAATTTCTTTGTGGTTCTTGTTTATTTTGTTTACAGCAGCGGTGCCCACAGACTATGAAAAAGGAGGAAGGCACAAGCTATAAAAATAAACTGTACGTAAGGAGCTTCAAACTCTTGATTCAACGTGTTACAAGGTGGCATCGGTTGCACCCGGAGCTAATTTGGCTACCAAAACATGGAATTTTGGCCAACATACGACGAAGTTGCACGAGTCGATGGATAAACATCGTTAATTAGTTTCTTTTATATTTGCAGAATAGTGAGACAATTCATAAAGATTTGGAGCAATGAAAGAAAATTATCTTAAGAAAAATCTACAAAATTTTATGGTACGTACGTAAATCACATACTAGACACAAAAAGAAAATGAAATACATAATAATAATAATAATAATAATAATAATGAAGAAATTATTTTATATGAAAACAATAAACAGCTGGAATAGGAACAAAATAACATCTGTAAGTTGAGTATGAATAGAGAAAGTATGAGTAACTACACGTTTATTTATAGCCATTTTTTTCTTCTATATCTCGGATATTTTTACGATCTGTATAACTTAGGCCAGTGTTTCTCGATCAAGGACTAGTAAAGGGCCTGAAAAAATTAGATCTAAGTGATGAGGACCTAATTGTTAAAAAAATCTATGTAGATATTACCAAGATACTGTGCCATTTATAACATAATAAATCTAAAATCGCGTTTTAAATACGCATAGAAACATAATTAAGTTAAGAAGTAGAAGTATTAAAAGTGAATTATTATTAAACGAAGTTTTAATCTTTATTAATTTAAGTCTGACTGCGAAACACAGGTTGAGAAACTGATTCAGGTCATAGTATAAAATTTATAGACTATATAAATTCTATGTTCCATACAGTACGTGTATGCATGTTATATGTAATATAAATCCAATATGTATCTGAAAACAATATTTTTATTTCTAAATAACAAAAATTTATAACAAAATAATAAATTTTTTTACAATATTAACTTTTGGTTTTTCAGTTGTAAACAATTTAACAATGAGTTTCTTTTAAAATAAATATAAATAAATAAAATATTTACAAAATTTAATCAATAAATTTATTTTGTATATATTTATTTATTTTTATAAACTTATCAAAAATAAAATATAGAAAAATATTGCAGTCTTTCCCAAGGATTCATCAATTGATAAATTCAATCTTGTGCAATTTCTGTTACATAAATAGGACTTTTCATTCTTACTAAAGAACTTGAGAAAAATCGAAGACAAACTTCAAGAAACAAAGAATTTCATTTAATAAAAGTAAATAATAATACTTTTTTTATTGTCTTTTTCCCCCTCTTTTCAGAGGCCTTCCAGTAGCTCGCGTACTACACTTTGACAGCTACTGAAACGTTTATTCTATTACGAAAAGAAATCATTGTAGTCTTTCAAAATACATTTTCAATGGAAGAAAATATAATAACATTCATTTATTTATAATCTGAAAACAGTAAATTGTACTTTATTTTGATTAGGAAAATGGCAATGAACGAACGATAATGTAACTATCATCATCATCATCTTTATGATAAAAATAATTAAAAATAAATATTTGACAATTAAATTACATTTTTATATACAATCTTTTAATATATAACTTTTTTACAAAAAATATATGCGTGTGTGTGTGTGTATGTATGTGGATTTACTTAAGTTAAATTCTATAGTTCTTCCTTAGGAAATAAAATAAATAGATAAAAAAAATCCCCAAAAAATTAAATCTTGTTGAATTTTCGAATTGTCACTACCCAAAAATAAAAGTGGACAGAATTTTTGGGGTTTTTGTTTTTTTCTTATAGAATTTGTTATCACACGATGTAATCCTGAGATGGATATTCTTTGAAAGTAATGACGGGAGCAGAACGATAACTGTTTGAGCTTCTTTTAGATTCTTTCTTCAAATTCTTTTTTAATTCTTCTAACAAATTCAAGCAACTGTAATTTAAAGTATTATTTACCGGTTGTTCGTTTAAATAACTCAAAAAATTACTGTATTTTTCGGGCTCGTTGTAGTAAGGTATAGGAATGGTCGACGGAAGAGTCACACTTTCGTTTTCTTTATCAAATTTATTTAAAGGCAACGTGAGATTACTTTGACGTAACAACCAGTAAGTTCTCATTTCACCCTTTCCCTAAATAAATAAATAAAACAGAATTTGAAATATTTTTAAATGGAAATAATTTTATAAAATGCCTACCTTAATGGGTGTTAATCCCCTTTCTTGTAAAATGTATCCTCCCAGTTTGATTAGAATGTTCTTGCAATCTTCGCTAACGTGAATCTTCAAGGCTAAAAGGGGATTGACGATTTTGCTTTAGAAATATTTAAATTTTTTAAAATGCTATTTAAGTATATTTAAATTACCTTCTCCTGTAGATTCCATGCGAGAGGCAGTGTTAACAGTATCACCAAACAAACAGTAACGTGGCATTTTTAGTCCCACGACTCCGGCCACGCATGGACCTATTTAACCATGACAAAGTACATCAACGAATAATAATAAATTAAGCTGTATTATTACGTTAATTATTAAATAATTATACCTGAATGAATTCCGATTCTGAGCTTGAGCCGTTCTCCGGGACGATGGCGAATTTCGAAATTTTTAATGGCAGACAGCAAGTGAATTGCCATAGATGCTATTTGTCCAGCATGTTTGTTACCATTCTTTATGGGTAGGCCGCTGACTACCATATAAGCATCACCAATGGTTTCTACTTTATAAACATCGTAATGTTCGATGATCGAATCGAAACACGTGTACAGATCGTTCAACAAATCGACCACCTACAAAATGGCCGGCTTGTAACTTCACTATTGTTAATTATATATATATATGGAATAGGAACAAAATAACATCTGTAAGTTGAGTATGAATAGAGAAAGTATGAGTAACTACACGTTTATTTATAGCCATTTTTTTCTTCTATATCTCGGATATTTTTACGATCTGTATAACTTAGGCCAGTGTTTCTCGATCAAGGACTAGTAAAGGGCCTGAAAAAATTAGATCTAAGTGATGAGGACCTAATTGTTAAAAAAATCTATGTAGATATTACCAAGATACTGTGCCATTTATAACATAATAAATCTAAAATCGCGTTTTAAATACGCATAGAAACATAATTAAGTTAAGAAGTAGAAGTATTAAAAGTGAATTATTATTAAACGAAGTTTTAATCTTTATTAATTTAAGTCTGACTGCGAAACACAGGTTGAGAAACTGATTCAGGTCATAGTATAAAATTTATAGACTATATAAATTCTATGTTCCATACAGTACGTGTATGCATGTTATATGTAATATAAATCCAATATGTATCTGAAAACAATATTTTTATTTCTAAATAACANTTTACATCAGTCTGTTCGGGTTGCGCTCTTAGTCATATCATAAAGAAGAATACAATAATAATAATAAAGAAAATAGACATTTAATATGACTTTTTATATACAAAAATTTCATATAAGAAATTGAAAAACTGCAAGCAGAATATTGGAATTTCTTTACAAGTGATAATCGATAATCGATTCTTATAAGTTAGTCCTCTATCGAATAGATAAAGAAAAGAAATTTGTATATCATCGAACCATAACACGGCTAATTAAATACACAGATACTAAGTAATTATACATTAATCACTAATGATAACGACGGATTCATCGGGTAATTAAACTAGGTTAGACATTAATTATTCAGGTTATGGCCCGATGAATCCGAAGTTATCATCTGATTCTTAATATATTAAGTTTGGATTTAATTTACTATTTTAATTATTGATTTAATCGATATAATAATATACTTATTTATTTATATCAAGTTATATTTTTTTAATCAAAAGAAGTAAGATTTGCTATACATTTATGTAATTCGTAATAATATTTTTATATGTAAAAATTTAAAACAATTTAAGCGAATTGAAGACGTTGCATTCTATTGTCGATTTTATGTCACCGAAAAATAATTAAATCACTCGATTTTATTCTTAATTTCTTTCGATTTCTCATAACTTTTCATACCCAGAAGTTAAAAGATATTGGTCAGAAAATTCATTTTTTAAATTAACGCATTGAAGGGAACCAGCATCGCCAATATATACCAAATATAGGCCCCAAATACGTTTGCAGATGGCTGAGGAGGTTAAGGCCTCAGCCTAGCGCTGCCCCAATCCCTGATTGAATCCGGGTGGTAAAGAAATCCAGGAATTTTTCTGTTCACCTAGAACTGTGGACCTGACCAAACTTACGATGAACTCGAAAAAAGGTTCTCTTAGCGCCCATAGAGCGAAGAAATTTTTTAAAAAATGTCAACGATCAGTTAGGGTGATAACTAGGGGATAGCCAGGGTACCACCTCGAGCACCAGGTAAAGAGGGGTGTAATTATTTGAATTATTTAAGAGTAGTATCACGCACGACCTGTTTGTTTATTGTTTACTTTTCCTAGAGTGAAATATGACGTGGGTCTACATTAAAATAAGAAAGATCATCCGGCAAATGGCCCACCAGGAAATCGGGAATTTCCAAGTGAGCCGTCCATCACTCGATACGACCGAATGTAAACTTTACACTAGATCTTCTATTTTCGTCAGATTTTCGTATACTAGATCAATGCGATGTAAATAATGATGATAAATTCAATAAATTCATTCGTCCAATACATTCTTCTTTCATATTTCATATACCTTTTGTTGTGTCTATTAAAAATATGCAAACTTTTATGTTAAGAATCCGTATCATTTACGAATTAATACAACTGTAAAATTAAATTAACAACAACTGTGACAAAATCAAATGATCTTGTGTTTTAAGCAATCGATCGATTACTGTAATTCTTAGGAACGTGACTGACGTCTTTCTTGATTAATTAATCGAAACTTGATTGATTCACGTCTAGCGTGACGATCTCGATCGATATCGAAGTTTCGTCACGCAAAATAATTTTCTATTTAAATATAATAAATCTCTAACCGACTCGATTAAAATCAATGTAATTTCTCCATTATCTTAAATTTATATAAGCTATTCTCTAAATTTTAGCAATTCCTTTAAATACAATGAAATAACGTGACTTCCAGAGCAAACCGGAAGTTCTTATATACTTAATCGGGGCCTGCTACCCCTAAGGTTTCTATATTGGGCCTCGTCTTTCATATAACGCCGTTCTCGAGATTAAGGAATGCTTCGATATACTGCTTAAGTACGTATTTATTAAGGAATATACCTTTTTCACAAGATGGCGGATAAAAAGGTAGCGGTTCCAAATACAATACCATAATAACCTTATACTTTAATACAGTAATTTCATTAAATTAAGCAATAAATGTACATTTACTGAATTTATTTACTGTAAAGTAGATTTGAAATTGTATTTTTAAACGAATAACTAAAACGTATAACGAATATTCTATTAATAAAATTTTACGAGATCAGATAAACAACCCACTTCATCCGACAAAATCCACAATTATCATTTGACTGTAAGAGGGGAGAATAATGCACCGAATTATTTCAATGAAATGAAACTAAGGCAATGACGTTTAAATAACCCAAAAAGCGTAAAGAGAAAATGTAAGTAGACCTATATTACAACCTTTATACATAAAAATAATATATACAGGCAAGAAAACTTCCTACCAACAATACAATAGCATTTTTCCGTAAAATAGAAGCGATATTACCCATCTTATATACAAATTATACGAATTTTTGTGTCCACGATTTCGTATACATTTAATTTTTCCCATTTGTTCAGTTGTATCGGTTGTATTTGTATCGGTGGAGCGAAATTTATTCCTTAATTTTCAACCATTTTAATCAAATTACACAACTATACTGAAAGAGTGTTTTATCCTTCCGTTAACACTACTTATTGAAATTTAAATACGCTTCTGGCTGACATTACATGATTCAAAATTGTTAAAATTTAAATAATAAAACCAAATTACCTTTCATTTGGTTATAAATACCGTACACAATATTTGGAAGCGTCACGTATCAATCCTTTGTGCTGTGACGTCATCGTTAAAAAAGTCTAACCCTTCACCCTAGGCAATAAGAACATAAAATACTAGGCTCCCAGAGAGAAAAGGCCCGATTATATTTATAAAAATTACCATAGCCGTTAAAGAATACAAAAATATCAAATATCAAATATATGCTCTCCACCTCAAATTAATACTGTCTTGCCCCTGTACATCATACTTTTCCTGTTTCCTATTTCCTTTTTCTTACAAACTGGATGGTCTTATATAGTTAATCGGGGGCTTCTCCCCCTGAGCTTTTCATATTTAACCTCGAATTTCATCTATCTCACTCCTTTCTCAAGATTACATAAGGACAGACAGCCACTGGAAATTTATAGGTCTGCAATTATACCTATAAACCTCTCCTTTCTATAATTTAAAAATTGAGCCTGCAATTTAAAACTTTTAGCCTAATAATAAAAATCGACTTAATAAAATAACAAAAACAAGAAAAAACTCTGATACCACAAATCCGATAAAATTCTATTGAATAGCAATTCCAAATACGATAGTTGATTCAAATAGCTATTCAGTTATCTAGTATCAATAACAATTCGTTACTATCTACTCGATATCAGTTACCTCCTAACGAGAAATCGAGTAACGAGTAACGAATACTGAGTGCACGAGTATCAAGTTTGTGCATCACCATTGTGTAAATAAATGAAAGTCCTCCCATTTACTGGCTGAAAACACTAAAATTCAAAAATATATGTATATATGTATTATGTATATATAATAGAAATATTGATAAATTCTCAGTCTATCTGTCTTTCCTTAAAATTAAGAAAGACAGACAGGCACACGGACGACGATGGGAATTTACAGGTCTATATATTTTTTTCAAATTGCAGCCCAATTAATTAAACAGCAAATCATCTTACTTTTAGTGTTTTATATTTAAAGAATAAGTTAAAATTTAAGTTAAAAAGTTCGAAATTGATGACGTTATCGTTACTTCGACAGTTGAAATCTTCCTAAGTTGACAGAAAATCGTTAGAATTTTCGAGGAAACAGTTATCTGCCGAATTGTATAGTTACATGGATAATTATTTATGTCAAAAGAACACTATCTTAGAAGGAATTGTGGTCTTTTAGCGATACATTTGCTTCTTATTTTCTCAAAACAGTTTCTATGAGATAAGAAAATGAATGTATTCAAATGAATTTGATACTTCTATCACGTTAACTCCATCGTGAATAATTATATTTTTAAATTTATTTAATTGAAAAAATATGCTTTCCACCTCAAATTAGTTGCTTGCCCCTGTACATCATACTTTTCCTTTAGCAATTGAGTCGTACCAGTCATCTATGTAACTCCGTTGAGGCGATGTAAATACATTTTTAAAATGTAACTCAGGTATTTAAATATTTGAACACGACTGCAATTTAGTTTTTACAATGTTAACTGAGTTTTGGGTCGCCCTATACGATAATGTTTTTAATTGATATTAATGAATATTATACGTTTATTACGTATATTATATAGTTAATTATTGAATAAACCGTACAATAATTTCGTTAATTCTAAAAATTCAAAATTAATGGAAAAAATAAAGTATTATTTTCCAAAAACTCTTGTCAACTCGTTAAGGGGCCATTATAAACAATGCATTAATAACATTTTTGATTCTACATTAATTAATTGCCATTTGTCCTTGATTTTTAATCAATTATCACAGGAAGATTTTCAAGTGTTTTTATGTTCATATCCTTCTACTGTTAGGAGAGAAGAAGAGCATTTTCAAGAACAAGTAATGACACACTTTTGAGATTGCATCACACTTTGCTTCATTGTTATCTTAACGCTTACAAAAATCTTGAATTTTTGTAGTATGTGAGGGAGTATGTACGTCTGTCGTTATCCTATATTAGAAATGACATCTAAAGATGGTGTGTGTGTGTGTTATGTAACTAAAAATCAATTTGATTCGATTTTCTATACTCATCTAAACCTGTTATATGATGTTTTTTATTGTAAAGGCAAAGAATGCTTCTAAAAATACAAACAGCATTCGTGAAATCCCGTTTTTTTTTTACACTCTCCAATCTAAATGTAATCTTTCAATTCGTTTCAGTTGATCTGCAAAAATTCGAAAACAAACGAGCAAATATTTATTGTCGCGATGCCAGGCTGCAATTTTTAATCATTTATTTCATTTAAAATATATGCTCTCCACCTCAAATTAGTAGTGGCTTGCCCCTGTACATCACACTTTTCCTTTAACAATAGAGTCGTGCCAGTCATCTATCTAACTCCTTTTGGGGAGATTTTTGAATTGAATTCACATGATTTCCGGTGTATACTGATAGTTCGTATACAGTTAATCGGGACCTCCTATCCCTAAGGTTTCCATATCTGTTCTCCTTATTTTATCTATCTCACACCGTTCTCGTGATTAAGAAAGAACAGACAGAGAGACAGTGGGAATTTACAGGTCTACAAATTTCAAATTACAACCTAAAAAGATTCTTACTTTGGAAGCATTCTAAGTAGTAAATTTTCTGTTTTCTTCTTTTCTTCTACTAATTGATTCGTTCTTTCTTGAACTAAACTTTCCAAGTTATAAGCGTACTTCTCCATGATTACCATCATATTATCGAATATATTTGGCTTTCTATAGAAGATTAACATAATTAAATTATAATATAAACGATACTAAGAAACTTTAAATTTAATTTTACTTACAATCCCGATTGCATTTCTCTTAATTTAATATTTACGAGTCTAAAATCGGGTCTGTATTCGGGTTCCTCCAACCAACATTCTTCCATACATCGTTTAATATAATCAGCACAGTTTAGAACCTCTATAGGAGGTCTGTACACTTTATTATCGTACTGGCTCGGATTCATTACTCTTTCTACTATACCTAAATGTAATTTTTAATATTTTAATAATTTTTTTCAAGAATTAGTAGCGATTATAAAGCTCTTATTTACATTTTACGGGGGGAGAATCTGGTCCCCACGGTCCAGATCTTCCAATAATTTCGTATAATATTATAGCAAATGAGTACACGTCACCCTTTTGTGTACCCCTGGCTGGTGGATTCATCATTCTTAACAATTCGGGTGCTTGCCAGATGAGACCTAAAGAACTAAATCTGACTGAAGTAAAAATAACTTACAATTTCGCGTAACTATGCTTCATTATTACTTATTAATTAACATAATTAAATTATACTGTAATTAAATATACAAATTAATTACAGATAGTTAGATTAAATTTTATAATTCTTGTACCTTTTTGACGTCTCTGATCCAATAGAGGTGGTAATTCTTGACCCGATTGAAACTCGTGTAATCCAAAATCTGTAATCTGAAGGACCCATCTGCTGTCTACTAGACAATTCGATGATTTAAGATTCCCGTGCGATATAATTTCACTATCGTGAATGTAAATCATTCCCTAAATTAAATAATAAATTAATTATTTAAAGTAATTTATCACAATTCCGGGCTGCAATTTTTAATCATATTCTTAATTAGTTTATTTTAAAATATATGCTCTCCACCTCATTATTATCGACTTGCCCCTGTAAATCATACTTTCCCTGATGACAACGTAGCCATGCCGGTCATCTATATAACTCTGTTCAGGAGAAAAAATTTTTTGAATTGCAATCACGTGACTTCCGTTTCGAACCGGAAATGACGTTAATCAGGGATAAACTTCAGGATAAGAACCAACGCCTAGTATGCTCGAATCCCATTCTCCTCTATACAATTTCCTATTTATTCTTCTATGTTTATATATCAAACTAAACATTTTCTCATACTCGTTATTAATTTATATTTGTCTAACTCGAACAAATTCATTTATTAAATATAATTTAATGACTATATTATTTGTTTATATAGATTCGAATGATATAAATCATTCAAAATATCTATAAACGTCACCATTTATTTTTATAATAAACATCGAAATTTAATATTTTTAAGTAAATAATCAAAGGCTTCCCCCCTTCAATCGTCATCAATTTATTTAGAATATAAAATTCAATTAAATTTATTATATTTGTATAAATATAAACTGTTAATACTTAGTTAAAATTAAGTATATCACTTTATCTTCTTATAAAAAAATTATTTATTAATAAAATTTAGGAATTTATATTTTTAAAGGAATGAAAGTAAACCCAAAGAAAAATGTATTTTCTTCAGAAATTAAGGTGGAAAAATAACAAAAAAACATTAAATAAAAATAAATAAATTACGTTCTTTACTCGAGTGAAGCTGAGAAAGTAGAAGAAGATTAGAAAAAAAAGGGGAGGAATATTGAGTAATACAAATGACACTCAGAAATCATGCGATATTCTAGAGAACAAGAGGGACAATTATCTATATTCTGCTTTTATCAATAGCTCTTTGATAAATGCTATCTTTTAATTATTTATCCTCTTAGATAACAAAGTTTCTTCTCTATAAAAAACAACTTTCTTCTCTTTCTCTCTCCTCTCTCTTCTCTCTTTTTCTTTAGATAAGCGAGAGCAATTTTTCATCATCATTTTTTCTGCACACTTCTTACACATTAATAACAATTTTTTTTTTATCTTTAAACATTAATTTAAAAATAAATACAATATAAAAATGTTATTATATGTATAGAATGGCCCAAAAATCAGTTTATAGAATTAAGGGAATTTTTTTAAAATTTTAGTTAACTAACTTTTTAGCCATTTCTATAAATTAAAAGATATTAAAATAAAATTACCTTTATTAAATCTGATACGAGTGATGCTACAAATACATTATCTAAATCTAAGTCTTCGTTTCTCAATACTTCCTACAAATAGTAATAATAATAATAAATTTAAAATAATAATTTTCTAATATTTCTTTACAATTTAATAATTTTTTTTAACAAATATTTATTCAATTTATTTTATTTCTAAAGCGAGTAAAATTGAATATGTCGATATTCTTTTTAATTATGATATTTACTAAAGAATATGTAAGGTTTCTATTGTAAAACTGCTAAATGTCACGATCCGAGAATTCATTTTTAGAAACGTTTACTTACAAACAGTTTGATTTTAAAAGGAAAATATATTTAAAACTAAACATTTATAAGATTTCAGTACGAACCGTACGTGACAAATAATTGTCACATCACACGAATCACTTGTTTCCTTCGAACTTTTATGTTTTAGAATCGTAACTTTTTAATGTAAAGACGATTAACGGAATTTTAAGTGTCTTTTTTTGTATTTTAAACTATTATAAAACAACAAAAAACATACTTTTTCAGGGTTTTATAAAAAAAATTGTAAATGCTAATAACGAGTAAAATCGTCAAGTCCGACCCTACTGGAGATACGACACACGATCCTCTTTATCTCCTCACTCCGTCGATCTTTAACCACCAAAATTTAATAGCATAAATTCCCCTAATATACAAACCTCCCTGAAAAATTTCAGAAATTATTGACAAAAAGCACAGGAGTTATTAAGCTTGAAAGAGGGTAAACAAAGTCGTGCCCTCATACAAACATCTATACGTATAGAAAAAAAGCTGGAATTTTTTTTTGCATTTCTCGACGTTTGAAGGTTTCCGAGTCCAAAAATATAAAACCTTGGGGTCATTTTTTTAAACAGATGGTCATACTTTTCCTATGTTGTATATAAAACAGCCGGGAAAGTAAGAATGGGTCACCTTCATACAAACACACAAAAAACAAATTTATGCAAATTTGCAATTTGCATAACAAACTCCTAATCAATATAACGTTAAGGAACCGAAATCTAAACGTCACTAATGACATATAACTAAGAATTTTCACTTAAAACTTTCGATTGGATTTAAATCTTTACAAGTAGGTCAACGACGTTTCTTAGTATCAATCTATAAATGATAAATAGTAACGAGAACGTTTCTTTTATCGGATTACCGATCGATAAAGGTGATAAGCGGTTCAAATTATGTCGAAATTGTCACCAAATTACCGTTATATTGTCTACTAAATTTATCAAATGTAAAAGAATTAATGCCATAGTTTCGTCTGTCTATCCGTAAATTATGTATAGAAGATTTAAAAATTGGGAACGAATCCAATAATCTCGATAAGTATCGTTAAGAAAACTCGATGAAGGTTTATGTCCTATGCAAATTAGCCAAAGAAATAATTTGAGAAAACACATGAGAATGCCATGAGTTTAAACTATTTGTATATTTAAATTAGTTACTTTTATAAAGAGGTTCAATGAATTCATTAAACTTCTCATAAATATAGTTAAATGTGTTGNAAATTAAGGTGGAAAAATAACAAAAAAACATTAAATAAAAATAAATAAATTACGTTCTTTACTCGAGTGAAGCTGAGAAAGTAGAAGAAGATTAGAAAAAAAAGGGGAGGAATATTGAGTAATACAAATGACACTCAGAAATCATGCGATATTCTAGAGAACAAGAGGGACAATTATCTATATTCTGCTTTTATCAATAGCTCTTTGATAAATGCTATCTTTTAATTATTTATCCTCTTAGATAACAAAGTTTCTTCTCTATAAAAAACAACTTTCTTCTCTTTCTCTCTCCTCTCTCTTCTCTCTTTTTCTTTAGATAAGCGAGAGCAATTTTTCATCATCATTTTTTCTGCACACTTCTTACACATTAATAACAATTTTTTTTTATCTTTAAACATTAATTTAAAAATAAATACAATATTAGTTGCTTGCCCCTGTACATCATACTTTTCCTTTAAGAATANAAATTTTAGTTAACTAACTTTTTAGCCATTTCTATAAATTAAAAGATATTAAAATAAAATTACCTTTATTAAATCTGATACGAGTGATGCTACAAATACATTATCTAAATCCAAGTCTTCGTTTCTCAATACTTCCTACAAATAGTAATAATAATAATAAATTTAAAAATAATAATTTTCTAATATTTCTTTACAATTTAATAATTTTTTTTAACAAATATTTATTCAATTTATTTTATTTCTAAAGCGAGTAAAATTGAATATGTCGATATTCTTTTTAATTATGATATTTACTAAAGAATATGTAAGGTTTCTATTGTAAAACTGCTAAATGTCACGATCCGAGAATTCATTTTTAGAAACGTTTACTTACAAACAGTTTGATTTTAAAAGGAAAATATATTTAAAACTAAACATTTATAAGATTTCAGTACGAACCGTACGTGACAAATAATTGTCACATCACACGAATCACTTGTTTCCTTCGAACTTTTATGTTTTAGAATCGTAACTTTTTAATGTAAAGACGATTAACGGAATTTTAAGTGTCTTTTTTTGTATTTTAAACTATTATAAAACAACAAAAAACATACTTTTTCAGGGTTTTATAAAAAAAATTGTAAATGCTAATAACGAGTAAAATCGTCAAGTCCGACCCTACTGGAGATACGACACACGATCCTCTTTATCTCCTCACTCCGTCGATCTTTAACCACCAAAATTTAATAGCATAAATTCCCCTAATATACAAACCTCCCTGAAAAATTTCAGAAATTATTGACAAAAAGCACAGGAGTTATTAAGCTTGAAAGAGGGTAAACAAAGTCGTGCCCTCATACAAACATCTATACGTATAGAAAAAAAGCTGGAATTTTTTTTTGCATTTCTCGACGTTTGAAGGTTTCCGAGTCCAAAAATATAAAACCTTGGGGTCATTTTTTTAAACAGATGGTCATACTTTTCCTATGTTGTATATAAAACAGCCGGGAAAGTAAGAATGGGTCACCTTCATACAAACACACAAAAAACAAATTTATGCAAATTTGCAATTTGCATAACAAACTCCTAATCAATATAACGTTAAGGAACCGAAATCTAAACGTCACTAATGACATATAACTAAGAATTTTCACTTAAAACTTTCGATTGGATTTAAATCTTTACAAGTAGGTCAACGACGTTTCTTAGTATCAATCTATAAATGATAAATAGTAACGAGAACGTTTCTTTTATCGGATTACCGATCGATAAAGGTGATAAGCGGTTCAAATTATGTCGAAATTGTCACCAAATTACCGTTATATTGTCTACTAAATTTATCAAATGTAAAAGAATTAATGCCATAGTTTCGTCTGTCTATCCGTAAATTATGTATAGAAGATTTAAAAATTGGGAACGAATCCAATAATCTCGATAAGTATCGTTAAGAAAACTCGATGAAGGTTTATGTCCTATGCAAATTAGCCAAAGAAATAATTTGAGAAAACACATGAGAATGCCATGAGTTTAAACTATTTGTATATTTAAATTAGTTACTTTTATAAAGAGGTTCAATGAATTCATTAAACTTCTCATAAATATAGTTAAATGTGTTGCTTGATTTAAAGATTCTTTTACCTTGGAAACACTGAATTAATTCATAATAAGAAAAAATATCCAGCAACGAGTTGCTTAACTTTCCTGGCAATATTTAAGATTTAATGGCATTATCTAATACGATATTTTACTTTTAAAAATTTTCTATAGCTTTAATTATTATAAAATAGCTAAAAGGTTAATTTTTAAGTTAAGAGGTGGGTTTTATAAAACATTGTAAATGCTAACAATGAGTAAAATCGTCATTAAGTTTGACTCTACTGGAACCTCCTTTATCTCTCTACCTCCTTGACCTTTAACCTTCAAAATTTAATAGCATCGATCCCCCTAATACACAAACCCCCCTGCAAAATGTCAGAAATTTTCGACAAAAAGCACGGGAGTTATTAAGCTTCAAAGAGCGTAAACAAAATCGTGACCCCCTAACACTAACATCAATACAGACAGGAAAAAAAACCCGAATTTTTATGCATTTTTCGACGTTTCAAGGAAAAATGTAAAAATCTTGGGGAAATTTCTTGACCGATGGCAATACTTTCCCTCTGTTATATATAACAGAGCCGGGACAGTAACCAGATTTATCTTCTAAGTCTGCATCTTTATAATGCATTGTTTTATTTATTAATTCGTAAATTATTTTCTTTCTAAACTTAAAATCCAGTTATAAAAATTATTATGTTAATTATAAATTTAATTTATATTGTTAGTGTATCTAATGAGCATTATTAGCATTTTTTTTATTCTTTCTGCCTAATAAACTTAGAAGTAAAAAGAATTAAATGCCCTCTATGTCCTTACGGTTTTACATATGTGTTTCTATATTGTCTACTTGGATCTTATTTATTAATAGGACCAGTGTAATAAGGTCCAAGTAGACAATATAGAAACACATAAAGGGCATTTCTGTCCATGTCCATCGTGAGTTCCGCCAGTTCCCGGATATGTCGGAGAAGTGTTTGACATATCCGGGACAGACCATTTACAAAGAATTTTCTTTTCTACATTTCTCAATTTTTCATGTAAGTCCTACATCAGTCAAGATTGAACTAGATCCCATTGAATTGGGGGGGGAATGAATGTTTCGATTAAATTTAATTTGTTTTGTTTATTTCATAAGATTAAGATTAAATTTTTCATTCAGACCTAATGCTGATTATGTGTTATGTTGTTAGAAATCAATAATGAAGTATTTTCTCCCTTTTTGGGGGGCTCTTTCTGCCTCGTGAGCAGTCAGAGTGTCCTTTTTTTTCAATCAGAAAGTGTCTTTTTTTCCATTTCCATAGTGGATTCGGCTAGAGATAAGGGACGAGACCCAAAATATTTAAAACAGACAGTTCATTAAAAATTCCTGGAGAGTCCTGAAGGGGAATCCGGAGTCGATCGCGGATCCCCCTTCTATCATCCGAAAGAATGAAATATCGAGTGGAGAAACGTGAGAAATTAAGATTATGTAAGGAGGTCGAGAAAAATAGTTAAAAAGTGGGACGAGAAATTAGAAGAAACACTAATTATCTTCCAAAAATAAAAAGAAAAAAGAAACCTAATCCGTCGTTTAAGAAAACAATACAGTATACGAAACACAAGTTATAAATTCTTATTTATATCCTGATATATAAACATAAAAAGAGAAAATATTATAAATATTCAAATTGTTAAAAAAACGATTATTTAATATGACATCGTCACAATACTCTTAAGTTTAGTAGCGTATTGTCCTCATACTTTTCCAGTTAACAATGAAGTCGTGCCTGTCATGTATCTAAACTTCGTTCGGGGGAAAATTTATGAATTGAAATCACATGATTTCTGGTCTAAATCGGAAGTTCTTATATAGTTAATCGAGTTGCTTAACTTTTCCTTTTTTCCTCTGTTATATCTAAAACATCCGGCAAAGTACGAAAGCAAGTGAATTCTGTAAATCACGAAGAATTTTTAAAATGTTTCACTAGAAATTTATAGGAATTTTTTTAAAATTTCTGAACAGAAATTAAATCCGAATATCTCTTTGTACGAACAAAAAAAAATATCTTCAAGATCTAATTACCCACATCGAATATCTTTACCTTTAATGGAAAGTGATGAGTCTCGTAATCAATTGATGATAGAAGAAAGTCTTACATAACATTTTTTCTTTGTTGTAATTCTGCAGAATAAAATTAATTAACCCGCAGATAATGTCCAGTGTTAAACCATTTTAAATTGAATCTATTTACGCTAGGATTAAGGTCACGTTGTAGGAATCGAGAATTCAAAAATTAATTTAAAAAATCTTTAAAAAAATTCAAATTATAAATTAAATTTTTTATGTTATAAAACAGTCGAATAATGCAGAGTGGTCCAAAAATCGGTTAACGAAAAATTTGAATTAATTAACGAGCATTTTTGATATATTTCTATCCACCCATCAAAGGGGGGGCAGCCAACCGTGGCACGCGAACTGCTTTTAATGGCATACAATACAGAAAAAAGGAAAACCGAGAGGCAAAAAAATTCACTTATAAATATTACATTCATAATTAATTCGCTGACAATTCGAAACATATTCCACCCATTTTACTTTTATTGAAATTCCATTTACTGTGTTTACATTTACTTAAAAGTTTTCTTCGAAAGCATCCCCCACACAAAGCATTATAAAAGCAATACGTGTTGCATGGTCTCGTATAACACAGTAAAAATGTAATCTATAAGTATTATATCTTCTGTGACAAATTCATCATTCTTCCATACTTGTTTATTGCTATTAACAATTGACTAAAGAACTGTACCAGATAAATATATATATATATGTGTGTGAGCATTGTTTCTAGTCAATTTTTCATATAAAAAAATGAAAATCCAGCAATGAGTTGCTTAACTTTCCAGGCAACATTTGGTGGCTCCATCTGTTATCACATTTTAAATTAATTAATGATTGAGTTATCTAAAACAGAATTTTTTTTTTACTGTTTTTCTTGTATTTAAATCTACTCCTTAAAGCTATTTTCTACCGAAAAAATCCCTTAATTACGAACAAAATTACCGTATTAATTTATTCGATAAATTTTAATAGTTCTTAATTCTGTCAAATTTTACATTATGTTTAAAGTTTATATTCATAAAAATTGCATTTATTCAATTTATTTCCTTTATTTTAATTTACTTAATTACACTTTTTCNCTGTAAAATACAATAAATGAATAAAATAAAAATGAAAGTTTTATATAAACTTTGTTTGTATTCTTATACAAAAAAATAAATAGAATCTTACTGGGAGAAGATGAACATTTTTCGTCTTTAAATCCACAAAGAGGTTCGCCTTTAGGGGGTCCTTTACCAAACCAATTAATATTTCTTCTCAGATGAATAGTCTAAATTATAATTATCATTGCTATTTAAAGTCAGTGTCATTAAACTTCAATAAATAAACTTAAAAAAAGTTACTTTCTATTAATATATAAATCATTCTATCAAATGTTTTTTTTTATTGTGCACTTCTAATACTAACACGTTCTAAAATTCGATGTAGTTTTTAATATATAGGATGACTCAAAAGTCATTTAACCATGTTTTAGTTATATTTAAAAGTACTGTATTTAATTAAACATTGTAGAGACAATTTAGAACTTACAATGGTCAATCGACTTTTGGTCCACCCATTATTTTAATATAGAGATGATTTCTCTTCCCTGTTTTTAAATGGATAATATATTTTAGAAATGTGTGTATATAATTTAAATGAAATACTTAAAATACGTAAATTAATGAAGGATACGATTAATTTTTAAATTTATTTCATTTCAAATATATGCTCTCCATCTCAAATTAGTAATGGTTTGCCCCTGTAAATCATACTTTTCCTGATAACAACAGAGTCGTGCCGGTCATCCGTTCTGGGGAATATTTTTGAATTGAAATCACGTGAATTCCGATCTATACAGGAAGTCGTATATAGTTATTCTCGTATTTCATCTATCTAATTTTCAAATTACAGCCCAATGTATTGTTTCTTTTGAGAATTTCTTGTAAATTTTCGTCTAAAGGTCACTTTCTTTCCAATTATCTTCTTTCAAATGTTGATCAGTTTCTTTTCTTTTCTCCTAACTAAACACTAAATCTTTAATAACGATTTCACTATTTTTTTTATTACATACAACACACAATAATCCTTAATAATGATTTAAAAGCAATTATTTTTCTAATTGATGTAATGAAATTTTTATATACTAGCTATATTGTTAAGTAATAAGACTTGGAATTTTTGTATTTACCTAAGAATATCGGATTTTTTTTTTAGAATTGTTTTCTCAATTATAATGTAAACGTGTGAATCAGTAAATACAACTAGACGAGCGTAAAACTAGGAAAGTTGAAGTTAAGAGTGAGTGATGTTTCACGCTCGTTTGATAGTCAGACAGACACTAAATCTGTATATAAAAATGTCACAATGTGATGCAATCGACGATTCGGCAATGGCTGTAAATAGAAGGAAATGAGGCGAAGATCAATGAAACAGAAGTTTCGGACAATTCTCTTCATTTAAAACCTCCGGACGACGACCAGTCCGGAGGTTTTGCCTGTAAACAATCGCTGATTGGTTACAGGCAAAACGTTAGTGTTAATTGTAACCAATTAACGATAAGAATGTATATTTTATCCATTTTCTCTAATTTATAAACATTTTGATTACGCTTTGAATGAATTTTTAAATAAATTATCAAATTTTAAAACATTTTACAACAAGTAAATCGCCAATTACTTTATCGTATAATGTCACAACTAAATAACTAAAGGTTGGAAAATGCTGTTAGAGCCATAATTGTTTTCGTGTCTCATTTCTCTAATCTAAAATTAAATATATTATAAATTTGATAATTAATAAAATAATTAAAAAAATGTTTTAAATATAAAAAGGAATCTTTACTCTTATTAATTCTTTTCGAATACATCTAGTAAGATCGACACTTTTTTTATAAACATGGCGCAAATATACGACATTTCCTTTATAAAATCCAATTTTTGCTAAAGTACGTCCTGTAATGGGATCCTGATTTGTGGGATCTGAAAGGGCGCTACATTTATTCTCGTTCAATCCTTGTACCTAAATATACAAACAAATTTATGAAGGGATTACTTTAATTTCCCTATTGGTAACTTTCAAATCCCTTGTGGTTACACGTTTCCAGTAAGATAAACTCTTATAAAATAAAAGGTTTGGAAAGCATTAACTTTAAGAGATACTTACGTTGATATTCTGTTTAAAATTCTGTAAAGCATCGTCCGAATTAGTTTTTAATAAAACAACATCTTTAACATCGACTTTCCATAGTAAACAAGCTAATTTTAATTCGTATCGATAATGTCTAAAATAAGAAAAAAAATTTAATTTCTATCAGGGAAAAATATATGTATATATATAAGATTAATTTTAATTTAATTTAGTTTTAATTCCTATAAAATAAATGAATAAATAAATTTGATATAGTGCTTACCGAAATGCGAACGTTCCGGCAATGACTATGATGGAAATGCATATCGAACACATAATTATAACTTTTAACCCTGTAAATTGAACAATAAATTATTTATTTGATAACAAGGTTAATAAATAAAATCAAAAGAATGCAGCCATTTTAATTTATTCTCTCTCTCTCTCTCTCTTCTACAACTTCTCCTCCTCATCCTCCGCATCCTTTTCTCCATTCTCAATTTGTGAGATAAAGCTTGGCATCAGTTATAAATTAAGATAAAAGTTACTTTAAAAATGAGGTTGTCGACTGAAATCTATAATTTGAAACTAACTCAAATTACGTAATAAAATAATACTAAATTAATTTTGCTTGTAGTTTGCATCCCATTGCTACGTTACATTCAACAAAATATTATTTTTATTATTGTATTTTGCCTATAAATTTTTATGACATATTAATATTTACTTATTAAAAATAAAATTAAACTTTATATTTTATAACATTTATTAAAACATAAATCAAAAAAATTTATATAAAATTGTGTAAACAAGAAAATTCTCAACGGTGTATTATTATTTTTTTTTGAAAATCAATTTTAAAGATGCCAAACACACGACGAGATTTATATATTTTTTATACAACTGTAAAATACAATAAATGAATAAAATAAAAATGAAAGTTTTATATAAACTTTGTTTGTATTCTTATACAAAAAAATAAATAGAATCTTACTGGGAGAAGATGAACATTTTTCGTCTTTAAATCCACAAAGAGGTTCGCCTTTAGGGGGTCCTTTACCAAACCAATTAATATTTCTTCTCAGATGAATAGTCTAAATTATAATTATCATTGCTATTTAAAGTCAGTGTCATTAAACTTCAATAAATAAACTTAAAAAAAGTTACTTTCTATTAATATATAAATCATTCTATCAAATGTTTTTTTTTATTGTGCACTTCTAATACTAACACGTTCTAAAATTCGATGTAGTTTTTAATATATAGGATGACTCAAAAGTCATTTAACCATGTTTTAGTTATATTTAAAAGTACTGTATTTAATTAAACATTGTAGAGACAATTTAGAACTTACAATGGTCAATCGACTTTTGGTCCACCCATTATTNACTTTATACGTTATTATTTATATAGTCTAGCTCTAAAGATTATAAACATAAGTATATAACTAGTGACATAACATATATACATTACTTTACCTATCTTGGTTGCTATGCCTTGACTCTGGTCCGGCATAGTACACAGCCACCGGTTTAACCGAGTATTACCCACTGAACCCAACACAATAATAATAATAATAAAATGTTTAGATATATGGAAACCCAAAAGTCAGTTAACCTATAAATTGAAATAACAATACGTTAAAATACATCTTGGTTAATTGACTTTTGGACCACCCTGCAGAAATTTATCGAGTGTTTTTTTTATTTTAAAAGAGAAAAATTGATCCAAAACAATAGCCTTCAGTTCTTCAATGCATTATTACAGTCGACCTCCCTATAACACTGTTGATAATTCCGTTTTATATGAAATCCATGTTGTACGAGTCACTTAGATTTTACAAATACGTGAGCCGTTCACAGCCTGGCACACGTATTTGTAAAAGCTAAGTGACTCGTACAACATGGAATTCATATAAAACGGGATTATCAACAGTGTTATAGGGGGGTCGACTGGTATTCTGTTAATCACATTAATGTTTTAACATTATTATCAAAAAGTTAATTTATAAAATTAAAAATAATTATAAATTAATTTTTANTTGTGCATATATATATATGTGTGTGTGTGCATACCAGTTCCGATCCCCAGAAAATGTCCTTTCGACCCTAGATGATCGAATCAATTACGTTGGGAATCCTGGTGTAGTCTACATAATAACGAGCAATTATGTATTGTGACATCGTCACAATTCCTGGCTGCAATTTTTAATTTATTTAATTTAAAATATATGCTCTCCATCTCAAATTAGTAGTGGCTTGCCCCTGTACATCATACTTTCCCTGACAACAACAGAGTCATGCTTATCATCTATGGTAAAATTTCTGAATTGAAATCACGAAGCAAATCGAAAGTTTGTATATAGTTAATCGGTGTGGCCTCCTTCCTTAAGCTTTTTAATATCCAATCTCGACTTTCATCTATCTAATATTGTTCCCGAGATTAAGGATAGATAGACAGATAATAGAGGGAATTTATAGGTCTACAATTTTTTTTTTCAAATTACAGCACAATTAACTAACACTAAAGGGATTAGTTCCTTAATATACACACTAAATGATTGATACTTACTATCGTAGCGACGTAATAATAATTTTTTGATAATAGCCTCTCCGTCGTATTCCGATCCTCCTTCGGCCAGTACGTCTGTCAGTCCTCGAGCGTAAAGCAATAAAGCATCGTAAGCGAAACCGCTAAATATCGGTACCTACAATTATTAAAAATAAANCTCAATTATAATGTAAACGTGTGAATCAGTAAATACAACTAGACGAGCGTAAAACTAGGAAAGTTGAAGTTAAGAGTGAGTGATGTTTCACGCTCGTTTGATAGTCAGACAGACACTAAATCTGTATATAAAAATGTCACAATGTGATGCAATCGACGATTCGGCAATGGCTGTAAATAGAAGGAAATGAGGCGAAGATCAATGAAACAGAAGTTTCGGACAATTCTCTTCATTTAAAACCTCCGGACGACGACCAGTCCGGAGGTTTTGCCTGTAAACAATCGCTGATTGGTTACAGGCAAAACGTTAGTGTTAATTGTAACCAATTAACGATAAGAATGTATATTTTATCTATTTTCTCTAATTTATAAACATTTTGATTACGCTTTGAATGAATTTTTAAATAAATTATCAAATTTTAAAACATTTTACAACAAGTAAATCGCCAATTACTTTATCGTATAATGTCACAACTAAATAACTAAAGGTTGGAAAATGCTGTTAGAGCCATAATTTAAATATTAATAGAAATTAAACTTAATTAATTAAATTTAATTTAAATATATTTAATAATTAAACTTATTAAATTAAGTTTCCAGAATGGAAAAATGAGTTTACTCAAATTTAGAGATAATTTTTAAATACGTTAATGGAAAAAATATGGATATTAAAGAGCAAAAATGTATTCTTACGGGCAAATTTTGTTGATCGTCATTGGTGAAATGAGCAACTGGTTGCATGCTTTTAAATAAATGAATGGCATCGTGAGGCAATTTCAATTTGGTCTTGTTAAAAACGGCCAAAACTGTGTAATTGCCTTCCGTATCTCCATTTTCGTCCATCATCACACTAAAACCAAGAATACCTGAAAAAACACTCGTTTAGATCGATAGAAACTAGTTACAATGACTGGAAACGTTTATATCACCTTAGTTCTTTCTTCATACGATATTTAAATTTAATATTTTATGCATTTAAGTGTAGGAGAAGAGACAAATTTACCTTTAAATCTCTACAAATTTACTTGTACTTGCCATTGATTTCTGTTAATTGTCACTTATCATACACACACACACACATGTATATATATATAGGGGAGAACGGGGCAACTTCGGCATGTGGGGCAAGTTTGTCAAGCGCTTTTTTTTAAAAACAAATTAAAAGGAGACTTTGGTTATAGGTTAGGCAGTTGAGTTTTATTGGTGGCTTGTTGAGTGTAGTGTTTTTATTGTTCTCCAACAAGCGTAGTTGAATTATCAAGCAAATTTTCATTTTCGTTCAATTCCATATAATATTTTT